GCCCCGTGGCTTATGTTGCCCTCGCACTCCGGTACGTGGCATCTGCACACATTGCCGATTAAAACTTTAAGCGACGTCCTCATGATGCTATGTGTACTCACAAATTAAGTTTTGTTTAATGTCTATCAAGTATCGATTATGGACTATCGAGGATATATAAAAATACGTGATTAAGAAAAAAAAAGTAATTAAATATATGCAAGCCGATATATTGTGGAATTATTTTTTTCATAACCTATCAATTGGATTTTTTTGTATTTCCAGTGTTGTACATATTACCACAATTAACACTTAATTTCAATTCTGAAAATGTTTAGTACATTTCCATTGTTGTTTTTAGTTTGTGGTCACCCTACGTCACATTATTAATTAAAAATACAATTTACTTAAAAATGGCCAAGTATCTAATATTTAAGTACTTTTACGGCCTGAGGACTGTCAAATCGCTAATGATCTGAATTCATTCGTGCGCCGCTTTCATTTAACTTTGGTATGTAATATCGTATCAATTACTTAAGAAAAAGAGAACAGTTTCTGTCGCTGGTATGATTCTAATGCTTATTACACTCAATCCAGAGTCTCGCAAGGATCGTATCTGTGTCCTATCTTATTTATAATTTTCATGAAGGATTCTACTTCTTAAAATGACTCTCCATCACAGGACGTTGGCCGTCAATATGGCAAATTTATCCCTTACCAAGGCGAAACAAAACAGTTGCTGCGCGCTCGTGAATCCGGTCCACTCCCTTAAGTTAAGTAACCATGACTTAGGAAATGAAACTATTTTTCCGGATTTAAATCGCGTATATTTGTTTTTTAGGGTTTGTTTGAAAAAACAAATATACGCGATTTAAATCCGGAAAAATAGTTTCATTTCTTATGTGTAACAATCGCGAAAACCTAAGAACTCGATATAACCATGACTTTTGACGTCTTCGCACCGCGTCTCTTGGCTTCGACCTTTCCGATCATTATAAGTTGAAGCATTCTATCTATCGTGTCGAAGCATGTGGCCGAGATATGCTATTTTGCACTTATTAATGATCCGCGTCAGTAGGCGTAAGGTGTTAATGCGCAGGAGTACTGTCTCGTTCTTGACTTTCTACATCCAGCTGATACCAAGCATGCGGCGGTAGCACCACATCTTGAATGCGTCGAGACGCTGTCTGGTTTCTTCTTTGATGGGCCATGCCTCGCTGCCGTAAATAACGATTGGCCAGATATAACAGGCATGGAGGATACGGATTCTAAGTTGTATATAAAGTTTTCAGCAGCACAACACCCTTTTCATTTTCATGAGAGACGCTCGGGCGATCTCAATCCGGGTTTTTATCTCCTGGTCCGAGTCCCATACTTTATTAATCCAAGCGCCGAGATACTTGTACTGCCGGACGCGCTCGAGATATTTACCATCCACTGGTATAGTTGGATCTAAGTCAGGATTTCGGGAAATCACTATGAATTTAGTTTTTGAGATGTTCATTGTGAGGCCAGCGTCTTCACTGCATCTGTTTACTCTATCCAAGATCTTTTGTAGGTCACTCTCTGTAAAAGCGATCAGAATTGTGTCATCTGCATAGCGCAAGTTATTAATTACTTTTCCATTAATTTTCATCCTTTCTATTAGCAGTTTTAGATTTTAAATTTTTTAGTAGTAGTAGAGCTCCTTGTGAAAGAATTTGTCCAGAGTAGTACTGCCGCCAAGCAGTAATGTCAACATAATGTTCCGGTTTTAAAAGGTAAGGGTGCTTGTGAAATTACTGGCACATGGAATATATGCCATTGTGGCGGCTTTAGACGCCGCCTATTATCACCGGCTGGCTGTACCAGTCTCTTTGGACGAGAGTCGCCAAGGAGAGTGTCACACTTGCCGTAAATGTTTGACAGTTTTTAGTTTTGTAAATGGTCATGTCAGCGATTGAAAATTGTTTGCCCGGTTTGAAACAAAGCTTTTTGTAAAAACCACGAAACTTTATAATTATATCGCCATTCACGAAGTTCAAGAGACCGTTTTATTGTTCGGTAGGGGAGCGATAAATTCTCCAAACCATTATGTGACATTATGTCTCAGGGTGATGGGCGCAGTAGCAGTGCCCCTCAGATACTTGCGATTTAAAGCTCTGAGTGGCACTGCAACTGTTATGGACAGGCGTGTAGCTTACCATCAGCAGCACGTCTTGTTCGTTCGGTCACTAGGTATTATAAAAAAATAAAAAATGCAAAGGTAGGTTCTGTAGGTATGTGGCTCATGAGACTCATTGTGCCAAATTCACAACACGTTTTTGCATTCGGTTTCTTAGGAAGAGTAACAAACGTGGATCTGAGGGCAACGTTCCAGAATCATAGATCCGATTAAAGAAGTGTGTCAGCAATTTGGCCTTCTTCAAGGAGCTGCAGAATTTCTATATGTATGTTGTCTGGCCCAGGAGATTTCCCTGTTTTGGCTGTTCTTAGTGCCCTTAAACCTTCCGATTTTAAAATAAGAGGACCAGTTCTATCTTCAGTAAGGACAGGGAGCTTCCTTAAAGGATCCGCAAGCATGTCTCTGATGTGGTCTCTCCATGCTCTCTTCTTGCTGTTTATGTCTAAAAGAAGATTCCCGGCTTCATTTATTATTGACATTGTGTTATTTTTATTATGTCCGACCTTTGCTGCTTGTAAAGCTCCTCCTTTACTTTATTTTATTTATTTATTTGTGTTCAGGTTACAAAGACCCATACATACATACCTTATAGACTAACATACATAATAATCAATAAAACAATCATATAATTTATACCTACCTTAAGGAATAACATACATACAATATAATAAAACACTATTTCTACCTAATCTTCACGAATTGCACTTGTCCGAGACGTGTGGCGCAATCTGGTGTCAGGTAACCGGCCGCGGAATCGCCGATACATGACACCCTTCGGCCAAAACTCTTCCTACATGAAGGTCGACAGATGTTCGGTCGGCACTCTCACCACAAACGAATTAAAATTTACGTTGTGGCGGGATTACAACCGCTCAACCCTCAGGGTGTATTTGGCTTTATATCTGATGTACTCCACTATCTCCTCAGATTTCGTGGAGTAATGTAGTCGTGACAGGTACAGCAGCCGGTCCGTCCGCCCCTGTGGTTTTGCACCTTCAGAAACAGGCTCACGGGGATTGTTATTGCTCTTAGCCGATTGCTTTTGCTCTTAGCCGATTGCCGCCGCTCGAGTTTTGAAGTGGTGGGTCGGCTGGTACACGCGGCTACAGCGGCGTATGCACGTGCAGGGACTGACATGCGCACGCGTGACGTTTCCGCCGGGACGGAGATGCGGGCAGCAGAGTGCGGCGCATCACGCATGACGGCAGCAGCGATCGGTGACGCAACCATTTGTGCCGACTCGACACTGTTGATGGATGCATTTTGCGCCCCACGTCGCGTGTCTATATTAGAGGTTTCTGGTTACCTACATACCTTAGCAGCGTTGCTTAATAACGCAACTTGGGCACGCAGCTCACTTATGGTGTTATCTGAAGCCTCCAATTTAAACTGCAACTCGGCCAGGTTTGACTTCAGGGAAGTAATATCCTTCAGCAGCCTGGTGACATCGACGTGATCGAACGTGACTGGAGGCAGTTTGTGCAGCTCTTTCGCCACGAATGTAAACACGTCGTCGGGGTCAGTCTCTTTGAGGAGTGTGATAATATCCTGGAGACTCTTCACGCCTCCATCCCCGAGATGGCATATTCTCAGCTTTGCTGAGGCTATGGAACAGCAGCATCTTGCTACAACAAACCTCATCCTCGTTGAAGTTGGATTTGCAGATCTGCACAATGCAGCGCGTCCGTTTCCGAACGCGCACCGAACTGCACTTTTCACTTCTCAGCTTAAATTGAGTTCTGGCGCGAATTATCTCTATACGTATCAATTTGTCCAGTTCTGTATCTGTTCAGTATCTGGCTAAATTGGTGTTTTTATACTGCTTTCGTTCTTTCATTAGTTGTAATATGGTCATCCAATCTTGTTTTCTATTTGTGACTCTGGGTTCCTGCAGAAAGTTCTTAGAAATATCATTAACTTACGAACGAATAATTTGCCAAAGGTCACTGATACTACTTTCAGTAGAAAGGGGAGTTTGCCGTACGGTTGCAGCCCACTGATTTATTTCCTGGGTAATGTTCTCTCTGATACCACTGTCTGCGAGTCTCCGTACATTATTAGCCTTTGGATCTATCTTCTTTTTCTGCACTTTCTTTATTTCATATCGTAGGGTAATCGCTACTGGATTGTAATTATTATTATTTTTTTATTATTATATATATTATTTCTCAAATCCATGGCAGGAAGTTTTATTCACATGCCCATGACCTAAAATTGTACAAGATTGTGTACAATTTGAATTACGTAGCGCTGCTTCAAAGTGATCTCAATAGAGTTAGGGAATGGTGTGCATGTTCCATTACATATGGAATAATACCTACTAAAGAGCCAAAAATGTTTTCACATAAAAAACCCTAAAAAGTCAATCATATCCCGTCACATAAAATTGATAACATCGACATAAAAGAAGTATAGTTGAGGTTCGCAATCTCGGTGTTGTTTTGGACAGTCGACTGAATTTCATCTCATATAGTTTAGAAATCTGCACGAATGATTGGTTTCATAGCGAATAATGCTCATAACAATATTGCATTGTTTAACAATTTATCTCACAGTGATCATGAATTTGCTTCTGTTGTCTTGAAACCGGTGTACGCGGTCCATTCGGTACGCATGGAGAGGTTGCATCGCGCCTCTACAAGACATTTAGCATTCAATTCCTCAGGCATACCTTATACAAGCCCGTATGCATAGCGCTTCTTGCTGTCGAATAATAGGTACCTCTCCATCAACGTCGAAACATTATCTTTTTTTTGTTGGTTGTCTACCTATGTGTGTGTAATTGCACCCTGCGATACAGGGTGTCCCTAGTGTGCGGCTATGAGTGTTAAAAAAAAATATC